GCTTCTGCCTCATTCATTTATTCCAGTAATATTCATGGAGTCCCAACTGGGTGTCAGGCACATGCTGAGCACCCAGCATACAGGGAGGCAAGGTCCCTGCCCTCCTGGCACTTACAGTCCAGTGCGGAGTCCAGTGAGCTTGCAAGGATTATACATAATTATGCACCATGATGGTGCCGATATTTATGGGACAGCCTCCCTGAAAGGACTGTGCTCTTCACCTGCACTGCCTCACTGAATCCCCACAGCGAATCTCCGTGTTAGTGCTTTTATGATTCTGCTTTATAGTGGATGAAATGGAGGCTCAGGGAGATGAAACCTCCTGCCTTAAACATAAAGTCAGTATGTGACAGCGTGGACAGACTTGGCCCAGAGTTACCAGCCCCCTTTTGGTAGCTCTTGGAGGGGAGGCTAAGTTCTCACACAAAGGTGAGGAGGGCAGAACGTGCATGTGGGGGCTGGCAGGTAATGGCACAGGCAGTGCCAGGTGTCAAATGGCCACACGCAAAAGCCAGGCCCAGGCTCCAGGAGTCTGAGGTGAGGCTGAGGCCATGGGGACGAATTGTGTCCAGGATGCTTTCCGCCTCCTTCTCTCACCTCCCCCTGGGGCCCAGGACCTGTTCTCTGCACCTCAACCCAACCTCCAGGAGATACCCCCCAGGCTGTGAGCTGACAAGAGGGTTTTCCTGCCAAGGGGGATTTGCATTCCACAGAAGATGTCTGAAGACATTGTGTATTGGTGAGCCAGGGAATGTTGGGTGTGACTGGAGTCTGGAAGTAGGAACCCGCTGGGCATTTGGGGCAGGGAGGGGGCAGCCTGGTGGGGCAGGAAGAGGGAGAGGAAGAGGGAAAGGAAGGTTGTGCATAGGAAGAGGGAGAGGAAGGTTGAAGGAAAATTGGGTATAACCTTAAGTGCCAGCATGAAGCCCCTGACTTTATCCTGTTGCCAGTGAAGCCACGGATGGCATAGGCTGGACCGCCCTGGCAGTGGATGGCTGGTACAATCCAGCTGGAGGCCTTGGGCCTCTAGGCCGGGAATGGTGTGGGAGAGTTGGGTTGGTGTCAGAGGACTCTGGGCTGCCTGTAGGTGAATCCAAGGGCCCTTTCCTTGGAGGGGCCTGCTACTCCCAAAACCTGGCCTACCTTCCCTAAGCTGCCCTCTTGTCAGCTCTGTGTAGACACCAGGCTTCCCTGCAGGGAATTGCTTTCTGAAACATAACAGAAAAGGGAGAAAGAACATCTCAAGCTCCCTGGGGAATGACAAATGGTTGTATCTGAAATTCAAGGGATTGGCTAATAGCCCTCAAGGATCAGGGTGACGTTAACACCTTGCATTATTCACCTGGTATCAAATGGCCCTGGCCCCTCTAGCCCAGCAGCTACTCATCATTGGTTGTACACTGGAATCATCTGAGGAACCAAAAAATAGATATATTGATGCCTGGGCCCCATCTCCATAGATCCTGATTGATTGGTCTAGGGTGTGGCTGGGATTAGGGTTTTATCTGTGCACAGGACTGAGGACCACAGCCTCATAGACTTCTGCAGTATGATAGCAAGAGATGCCATTGAAGTTGATCACAGCTCTTTCAAGTCAAGGTACTCCTTGGATGCCTCAGGGGCTGATTCTTGCTATATGAAGTGATTGCATTACTATGGTTCCTGAAATGCCCTGAGGTCCTGGGAGGAGAGTTCTGGATTCTCACCAGAACATTCTGAGAGCAGACCTGAAAGGGCCCTGTTCTCAGCCTCCTGTCACCTCCAGTCCATCATGACTGTTCTTTCCTGCCCTGACGTGGGATTCACTCCATTTTGCCTCCCAAACCATTTATTTTGGATAATCATTAAAGATAAATGTTTTAAAAATCTTCTAAGAAAACATGTGTATGCCACTGGAAATTTCAAGGCAATGAGTCATCACACTCCTGGTCCCCCTCAAATTCCCGTTTCTTATGTAAGGCTGAGTCATTTTTTTTGAGAGGTCTGTGCATTGCAGAAAAAAAATTAGAAGGCTCTCAAGATGAGTGTGTGTGTGTGTGTGTGTGTGTGTGTGTGTGTGTGAAAGAGAGAGGCAGAGACAGAGACAGAGACAGAGACAGAGAGAGGGACTGATTCATGTCATTTGTAGTTTTAGGGGACTGGTGGTACCCCTGAATTAACATCAGAGATTCCTCATCCCCTTTACTCATTCTCTTTTTCTCTCTACTTCGATTTCCATTCAGTGATGTTTTTGCTTCAGAGTGCACATGTGAGACTTTGTCATCCTGCTGTCCCAGCTCAAGACCACTGTCTGTCATGGGACCTGAGGACAGGCAGGCCCATGGAGACGGTGCTCCACTACCCAGCATGCCCAACCTGAGCAGGCTTCAGAGCCCGAGAGGTGGATGAACTATGTGTGAGGTCTAGCTTCCAGGTCTGGGTTCTGGTTATTTCCGATTTTCCTAGAAAAACATGGAGGCTGTAGAACAGGGTCCAGGAGAATAAAGAATTGGAGGTATTTCAAGGGAGCAAACTGAGAGAGCCCATTCCTTAGAGGAATGAGGTTGTTCTTTGGGAATTTAACCATAAAATTGACCCATAGAAAGCAAATCAGACAGATGCCAAGCCATGCTAAAAAGAGGCAGAATGGGCCCCAAGCCAGTAAGACCCACATAGCTAAAGGAAAAGATGCCCATCAGAAGAGGTCACATCTGTAGCAGAGGAGTAGAAAAGAGCCAGTCCTGGGCACACGGCCACACCCATCCCACACTGCCTGGGGACAGAGAGTCCGCCGTTGCCACTGGCAATGGCATGTCTGTCTCTGTTGGGGAGGTGCATGCCTCCTACTGTTGTAGCCTGAGATTTCCAATCATTTGCAATCAGTAAGGACAGGCCCTGGTTCTGAGCCCAGAAGACCAGGCCTGGCTCCTTAAGCATTGTGCCTACAGAAAAGGGACGAGAGAGCAGCCAGCTGCTCACCGTTTCTCTTGTGAATAAACAAATCCACTGTATTAGTCTGTTTTCATGCTGCTGATAAAGACATACCCAAGATGGGGCAATTTACAAAGGAAAGAGGTTTAATGGACTTACAGTTCCACATGACTGGGGAAGCCTCACAATCGTGTCGGAAGGCAAGGAGGAACAGGCTACATCTTACGTGGATGATGGCAGGCAATGAGAGAGCTTGTGCAGGGAAACTCTCCTTTTTAAAACCATCAGATCTTGTGAGATTCATTCACTATCATGAGAACAGTACAGGAAAGGACCACCCCCATATTCAATCACCTCCCATCAGGTTCCTCCCATGACACATGGGAATTGTGGTAGTTACAATTAAATATGAGATTTGGGTGGGGACACAGCCAAACCATACCAAACCATATCATCCACCAGTTTGATACAGTGTGAGCTGATGTGGCATTAATTCCTCCTTCGTCACCATGAGACCACCTCTCACAGGTGAAACACAATCAGGAGAGAACCTGAAGGGGGTGAGGCCATCAGGTGAATATCATTTCTTAGGATCCACTGGCCTCCCCAGGGGTGTCCTTGGCATCACCAGAGGCCTCACCCCTTTCTTCTAACTTCCTGAGCTGTGCTGTCCAGTATGGTGGCCACTGGCCCCATGTGGCTGTTGAGCACTTGAAATGTGGCCAAACTGAATTGGAATATGTTGTAAGGGTCAAATACATATAAAATTCTGAAGATTTGGTGTGAAAAAAAAGAATGAAGACTATTTCATTAATAATTTTCTATATGGATTGCACATTGAAATAATCGATCTATTGGGTCAAATAAGTGACATTAAAATTAATCTCCCCGGTTTTGTTTTACCTTTGACCCTACCCCAAGACCTGCCAGAATGAAAATAAAGAACAAAGACAACAAAAAAACAGCTGACAGCAACAGTATCTTGGGAGCCAAATATCAGGTGGGTGAGTGGGCACTACATCCAACAGTGTACCAGGTTGAATAGTGTCCCTCTAAAACTCATGTCCACCTGGAAGCTCAGCATGTGACTTTATTTGGAAATAGGGTCTTGGCCGATGTAATCAGATAAGATTTTACTGGATTTGGCTGGTTATAAATGCAATGACTGTTCTCCAAGGGCATATAAAGACACAGACACATGCGGGAGGAAGAAAGCCATGTGGTGATGAAGACAGAGATGGGGATAAAGCAGCTACAGGCCTGGGAATGCCAGGGATCAACCCAAGCGGGGGGAGGCATGGAGAACTCCTTCCTGTGAGCCAAAAACTGTCTGAATCAGGTCTCAATCAGTGTAAAGGTTTGTTTTGCCAAAGTCAAGGACACATGCGCAGGAGACAGGTCTGTGCCTTTCTCCAAGGATGATTCTGAGGATGTCAATATTTAAAGGAGAAAAGCAGGCTTGAGTGGAAAGAGGTCACATAACTGAATCCATACGTTGCAAGAGAAAAGTAGGGAGGGGAATGGTCAATTTATGTATTCCTCTCGAGCTCACCGAGCTCACCGTAAGATAAGGGGAACACAGAGTAACTACTGTAGAAATGTTTTACTTTTTATCTGTAGCTATTTGCTCAGGATAAAAAAGAAAAAAAGAAGGCAATTTCTTGTATGACTCAGCTTTCAGCTTAATATTTTTTTCTTCTGGCAGAGTGAATTGGGGTCCCCAGTTTTTCTTTCCTTTCTTTCTTCGTTTTCTTTCATTCTTCTCTTTCTCTTTCTCTCACTCTCTTTCCTTTCTTTCCCTTCTTTTCCTTCCTTCCTTTCTTTTCTTTTCTTCTTTCTTATCTCACTCTGTCACCAGGCTGTAGTGCAGTGGTACAATCTCAGCTCACTGCTGTCTCAACCTTCTGGGCTCAGGCGATCCCCCCACCTCAGCCTCCTGAGTAACTGGGACCACAGGTGCATACCACCACATCCGGCTAATTTTTGTATTTTTCATAGAGAAGGGGTTTCACTATGTTGCCCAGTCTGGTCTTGAATTCCTGAGCTCAAGCAATCCCCCTGCTTTGGCTTCCCAAAGTGTTGGGATTATAGGTGTGAGCCACCGTGCCCGGCCTAGGCTCCCAAGTTTTTACTTTGCTTTCACTTTCCCTGGAGCCTTCAGAGGGAGCATGGCTCAGCTGACACCATGATTCCTGACTTTCAGTCTCCAGAACTGTGAAACAATACGTGTGTCTTGTTTTAAGCCACCCAGTTTGTGATCATTACAGCAGCTGTAGGAACCAATACACTTAGTATGGAAAAACAATGTGAAATTTCTCATTAATAATTTTTATATAAATTAAATGATTGATTTGATAATATTCATTTGGGTTAATATAAATATATTGGGTTAAATAAAATATAGTATTAAAATGAATCTCACTTAAAAAAATTCTTACAAAATATGGTGATTAGAAAACGCTAGATTGCATAGACGACTCGTTTATGGCTGGCTGTATGTTTCTGTTGGACAACACTGTTCTAGAGTATACAAAACAAGGGACTCTGAGGTCCCTGTGTGTGAGATGCTGGGGCTCTGCCTCTGGAGAAGAGAGAGTGAAGAAGCTTTTAAAACAGAAGCCCCGGCTGGGTGCAGTGGCTCATGCCTGTAATCACTGTAATCCCAGCACTTTGAGAGGCCAAGGTGGGTGGATAACTTGAGGTCAAGAGTTCAAGACCAGCCTGGCCAACATGGTGAAACCCCATCTCCACAAAAAAACCTGGATGTGGTGGTGGGCACCTGTGGTCCCAGCTACTCGGGAGGCTGAGGCAGAATTACTTGAACCTGGGAGACAAAGGCTGCAGTGAGCTGAGATCACAGCACTGCACTCCAGCCTGGGCAACAGGGTGAGACTCTGTTTCTAAATAAATAAATAAATAAATAAAACAGAAGCCACACAAATGCAGGAAAGGTTTTTCCACAAAGTCCAGCAGGAGTAGTGTCCCCAAACATGAGGAAATATCAACATTTCAGCCTGAGGTGAGACCTGCAGGAGAACAGAAAGCCCTGGATAGGCTGGCAGGAGTAGTCAGGAAATGTCTTCCACTACAAGTAGGATAAGAATCTTGTGCTGCTCCTGGCTGGGGTGGGCTTTGCCGTTGAGAACAATCACAGTGTCCCAAAAGGGAACCCTGTCCAGAGAGGGCCAGGGTAGGTGGAAGGCAGGACAGCCACAGGGAATGCTCCTGTCTCCTTTGAGGAGGGCAGGAGCTGGAGCCTCACACCTCTCACACTTTCAAAGGCAGCAACCACCAGCCTGGCCAAGGTTCTAGAATCCTGCTGCCATGCCTTTGCTGGCTGCAGGCTGTGTGGGAGTGGGGCCTTGGGGTTACCCAAACAGCTTATTGGCTGCGGAGTTGGGGGTGTGGGGATGGAAGGTGGAGAGAGGGAAGCCACCTGGCTTAGCCAGACCTGACTCATGTTTTCCTTGGCTGGAGCTGGGATTCCTTTCAAGGTTTCT